CACAAGATTTGTACAAAGAAATTCTGTCTGACAAATGGAAAATCTTTAATAGGAGTTGAAAGGAAATAATTTAAAAGCAAAACAAATAAAACTGCTTGTTCTTGCCATCTATGTACCTGGCATTCACTATCTCACAGGGTTTGGGATAATCATGAAGTTCGTAATCCAAGGTCAAACCACCAAACACATGATAGAAACAAACAAAAAACAATAAGAACCAACCCCAAAATGGTACATGCTTGAATTTCTTTGGAAAATGGCAAGGTGCAGTTTTTGGGACAGTTGGCTACATGGAACCAACCTTAAATGCTTTTGGATATGGGTGCCAAAAAAGCCTTTGGGTTTCTCCTTGAGGACTGACATTTAAGCTGATCCATCAGTCTAGAAACCTAGAAGGCATTGCACGCAATACATATTTGATAGCAGAAAATCTTCCCAATCTCTGTATACTAAAAGCAAATCAAGATGGCTAGAATATGTATAAAAGATATGTTTTTGATCCTGTAGCTGTATTGTGTGTACAATTTGGGATTTTTATTACTACTTGTTTTTATTACTATATTTTATATTGCTTATGTGTCTTTTATGTATATTTATATTATTCATAAAAGTTTTTTCTAGACAAGACTGTACATGTCATTTAAACCAAGACCGGATTAAAACTCCTAAGTCTTCAGGACATCAGTACAGTTGTTTGAAGAGTGAAAAGTTAGCTGGTGACTTATCATGAAGATTGTTAGTACATTAATTGATGGACTGATTTTTGTTGAGTTAAAATGTAATTCAGACTGAATTTTCCAGCTAATCAGGAGTATGCATATCCTTGACCATGGTGAACAGATTGCAGTTATACAGGGGGGTCCTCTTGAAAATTCTTCACCACTACCGTAGTATTTGGAGGGCATTGAGAGAATACAGTACTTCAGGAGACCTGAACAATAAATGAACAAAACAGTATATTACAATGATTACTCTCAGGAGTTTACAAAGCCGTCTCATATCTGTTATTTTGTCTGATGCATTCAATAACCTAAGATTCATGCATTTTTCTTCTTCTTGTGATCCTGGGAATTGAACCCAGGGCTTTTTGTGCAGTGCTAAGCATATACTCTACCACTGAGCCAAACCCCAACCCCTAGATTTTTTCTTTAACAGAACTTATGAGTATCTGTAATGTATCAAGCACTATTTAGGCCCGGTGAATCCCACGGTGAGCAAAAGAAGCAAAACTCTCATTTTAGTAGGTAAGGGTAAGAATAAAATAAAAGATACATGCTATGAAGAAAAATAAAGCAAAGAAAGGGAATAGTGTCAGAGAAGTGCTGTTCTTGGTGGAGAAAGGCGAATGTTATCCCTATTTTAGCTAGAGCAGATCAGGTTCTTAGAGAAACAGTATGGTTTTCTCAAGCGTTGCAACTTGTAAGCATCAGAACTGGGAAAGATACCTGAATCTGATCTCCAGTCCTCAGCCTGAATGTGCCTTTTGTGACAGTCAGAAAAATCTGGGAATCTGGTTTCCATTTCTTAGTCTTCTGTGTTCAGCCAGTGCTGATGTGAGTATCTTTGTCTGCTTCCTAGGTTCAGAAGGCAGTTCTACTTCTTGATCGCTTTTAAAAGCAACTTGACTTTTGGGTTTTGCTTGCAACTACATGGTCAGGCTCAGAAGCAAAAGGACATCTTATAAAAATAAGAATACTTCGATTCCAGCAGAATGATCCATATGTGTGAAGCAACATTCAACAGAGTCCTCTTACTCTGTTTGAATCTAGCTGTCCTTGAACTTTGTCATTGTGGGATTAGACTTGCATGCTGCTTCTGCAACTTGGACATTACAGTGAGATATGCCATGTCTTTCAGAATAGCCTTTGGTGGAATTTCCTCCAACATAGGGGGCTGATGAGTGAATCAGTGAATGCTTACTGGACCATTCTGATGTACCCACCACCTATAAAGCACAGTGACAAACCCTTACGTTATCTGACACTGTCATGGTGACTTGTCATTCTAAAAGCCTTCATTCCTTCAGAGCTGTTGTTTTGAGCAGTTTTCCTGAAATTTCACACTTGTCAACAAATTAAGAAAAAAAATGTAATATCTTTTCTTCCCCTTAGTCTTACCCAACCAGCCTGAGTTTTAAATTACTTTAAATCCTAGTGGTTCAAAGAGGGAAAATGACAGTATGGTCTATTTCATATCTAATAAATATAGTCCTATCATTTATAGATTTTAAAGCTGTGAAAGCTGATGAAACTTTCCAGGAAGGCGTCCACACTTGCATGCATAATCAGTACTGCTGGCTGAGTGAAAGGTTAGTCTCAGTCTTCACTGTTTGCATGAAAAGCAAATCTCTTATGGTGGTTTCTGGAAAGGAAATGTTAAGAAAAGTCTTTTTACGGCATAGAAACAAAAGTGGTAACTTTTATGTAGGAAGTCATAAACTGACTTTACAGGAAAAGATTTGCTCTTTAGAGACTGGTTGGTTTAGACAGCCTGTAGAGGGAAAAGGTAGGCTTTGTTTTTATTTTAATTTCCTATGCTTTTTATTTTAGAACTCTTGTACCGATCTGAATTAAGTCCTTTGGTGCAAACAAAGGCCCCGCCAAGCAATGCTGTGACTGGAATGTCTCTCTGGAACCCCGAAGAGTTTGCTAATGTCCCTCAGCGTATTCATGTGTGTCTAGGTGTTGTCACAGAGAGGAGAGGACAGGAGCAAGAGCACGCCATTGGGGGACTTTGCGCGTGGCTGTGCAGTAGGGAATGCTGTGCAGTAGGCAATGAACAGGGAGATGGAGCCTGCTCGGTTCTTACCCATGGACTGCTGAGTGGCTGTTAGATGAGGTTCCTTCATTTCTCCCTCTCTTTTATTGTACATATTTGCGATATATAATGTTTACATCGCGAAGGCAGCTGGTGCCTGTCCATAACCCAGGCTGCCACTGTTCCTCTTGGAGGGTACCATCCTGCCACTGTTCCTCTTGGAGGGTACCGTCCTGCCTGCTGCTCTCGTGGCATGTGCCAGTAGTGCTTGAGACCGCAGGGAAGCTTCAAAGCTGAGCTCTGTTTGGCAATTGATGGGTCACATTTGCTCTTCCACACTCAACACATATTGAAGAAGTACAAGATTTCCACTTGTGTGGTTTCAGTGATAATACGGCCTTTTCTTCAGTTATATGCAGTTAATGGGATGGGCCATCCTGGGAAAAGTCGTTCTAGGATTTCAATTGCTAGGAATGCTTCTCAGAGCAGGCATTGTGGTGTTTCTTGTGGAGAAACTGGTGCCTACCCTCCTCCTCTACAAATCCGCAGGGTTTAGATCAAGCCGTGTGCCAGATGACCATACATCCTCCTGTTCCTGGCAAAAGTGTCCCAGTCAGTCACTTACCCCACACAGTTTCCTGTTCTCAGCACATTGTGCTGGCTGGCCTTACATCCAGCTCTGATCTTAGCTTGAGACCTGAAAGTTAAAATTATTCCTGAAGGCGTTATTTCCTTCTGTCGTTTAAAGACATGAGTTCAACTTCTCTACTTTTAGCAAGAAAATTCTTAGCTGTGGAGGTGGAAAGAAATATTTCTTCTAGTTTGGCCTGACCAACTGACCTAAGCATGATCTGAGCAATTTTCACAATTCCTCACAGTCATGTCACAGGTTCCCACTGGCCAGTTTTGCTGATCCTCTTAAAAAAGGTATTCGAAACTTTAAGCTGTTGTAATGAGACACAGTCTACGTAAGGCAGTAGGAATTAACAAAAGCTTGAATTCTTGTCTTCAGCAAATACTGCTGAGATGCATCACGTGTTGGACAGGACAACTGTGGTACTCGGTAGTTCTGCTGGACATGCAGCAGTAAATAAAGCAGATAAAGGTGAAAGATATTTATTTCTGGAACATCTGTAAAGAAAAGTAATTGCAGCTTCAGGATGTGAGTCCCTTGGGCAGCCAGCCCCTGCTGGGTGGTAAGTGCAGTGTCAGTTCTGGGTGCCATTGCTGAAGTGCCTGGACATCTCCTCTGTATTTCCTTTATAGTCACCTTTGCTATTGACTTGTACCACCTTTGAAGAAAATATCTCCTGAAAAGTGTCAGTGTCTGCATTTAGTATCAATATCTAATCTCTATAGTTTCTCTCAGTTTTCTAAACTTGGAAATTAAGAGATTAGTGAACTTTGTACTCTAGTTAAATCTTTAAATACGTGCTTTAGTAGAGCAGTGTTTATTTTGTTAAGGTAAGAAGATTTATTAAACTGCATAAGGTTTTTTGTCATTCTATTCCAATGTAGCAGAAACATGAGGAACTCTATTTTGATTTCTGTGTATATGTTCTTTTATTAACTTATAAAAGTCCAGTTTTTAATAAGAGTCAGACTGGAGACCATTTTTAAAATAATCTCAATGTTCCCACTTTCAATATTTTGCCACAAAAGAAACTTATGGTTTCGGGTAGTGCCAGAATTCATCTTCCTTTCTTTTTCTTAGCTACCACATCCTTAACTGGAAGAGGCCACTTATTTGAACAGTTTATACCTCTTTAGAAACACTTTCTGAAGGGCCAGGGATATGGCACAGCGCCTGCCTAGCAAGCGTGAAGTCCTGAGTTCGATTCCTGGTACCAAAAAGAGAAAAAGAAACACTTTCTGACCAAGCACAGTGGCACTCTCCTGTGATTCCAGCTACTTGGGAGGCCAAGTGAGGCAAAGGGATCACAAGTTCTAGACGAGTCTAGTTAACTTTGTGAAACCCTGTCACAGAATTGGAAAAAAAAAAAAAAACAAAAAAAACTAGGGTTGTAGCAAGGTCCTGTGTTCAATTCCTAGTACTGCAAAAAAAGAAGAAAAAAACCACTTTGTCTCGGGGATTGGGGATGTACTTCACTGTGCTAACGTGGAAAAGGTGACAGGAGTCATACATTACATTCTTCCAGCAATTTAAGGTGTAACAGAATGAAGTTTTAAAACCGGTTTAGTTGTGTATAATTACAGATCTCCATTCTTCATTCCTTTTGTAGCCCACAAGACGGTCTGCCCGATTGTCCACGGTGAGTGCCTCCAGCCCTTTGCATCTCATCTTTGTTCCCTTTGTGCAGAGCAGAGCAGCGGGAGGATTAAGTTGACATTTCCCTTGAGTTTATTTTCCCTTTGAAAATTTCCTGAGGTCACAATTTCTAGCAGATCTGACCCATGTTGCCAAGCAATCCACGTGATCAGATATGTCAGTGAAAAATAGTGGCCGGCCCCACTGCCAAGAATATGCAGCCCAGGATGTCGTTTGCTAAGTGTCTGAAGCAAAAGAAGTCCATTAAGCAAAGTCTTATTCTTTGTATTCTATATGTGATATGCTGCAGTGGGCAGATTTTGATTTTCTACCTGCAAGTTGTAATTTAGAATGTTTTGCTCTGGTGTCAAATGTTCTGAAAGTTGCCCGAATCCATACACTTTAGCCTAATTTCAGACCTAGAGTGTCTTTGAAAAAAGTAGTCATTTCACCTCTGTCACTTGGCATCTCTTCTGTGGCCGATGTTCAAGGGAGTGATGAGAATTAGAATTAGAGCTGGGATGGACAGGTGTGGCCAAGCCTCAGCCAGGACCCCACTCCAACTCTCCCTCGCCGGCCGTGTGTGCTCTTTGCTGGCTCTTGTGCTTTTCCAAGCAGATCAGCCTGACTGGTGGAGGATTTTGGTAAAATTTGTGCAGCCCCAGCTGCCCACTGAGAGGAGCAGAGACCTTAACATCTTGGCTGACAGTGTATCTCCCCATGCTAGGTACTACAGGAACTGTAAGTGTGGATTCCAGCCTCAGCGCACCTGTGGCACTTGGAAGTGGGTATTAGGACCTTTCCCAAATTCAGAGTTGGGTGGAGCTGCATCTGGGTTGGATGAGCCTGTGTTTTACATGAATCTCATAAGGAAGCATTTCAGCATCACCATGAAGACTCAGAGCTGGTGGTAATGTTGTATGTAGCCCTTGTAAGCCAGGTGTAAACCACAATTTAAAAGGCTTTTCCTGAGCACCAGAGACCAGCAATGTGGGTCCTTTGCCCTGAGATCGTTGTGAGGCAGCAGGATTATAGACTACAAAAGTCTCCTTTCTTGGTTCCACCAAAACACTGACCACTGAGTCAAAGTGTAAGGTCTGTATCACAGAAAGTACTATAAAAGGATATTGTTTGCTCTGAATGAAAAACACGTGTATTAATATAATATGGCAGAACTTGAAATTAAAAAATTTTTAAATCTTGAAAATTTAGGAGCCATGAAAGCTGCCATATTTAGGAAACTGACTACAGATTTAGGGTGGTAAGAAGATTAATAAAAGCATTCCCTTAGTTTTTTATTTGAAGGGTAATTTTTAATAGTGCACCCTCTGGAATTACACGGGGGGTGGTTTCACTTTATGAAAAGGGCCAGATTCAAAGTGAACCTGAGCCCTTCAGAGGCACTGGGCCGAACCATGCATTTTTCTCCATGGGAGGAGACTGGCCAGTGTTTTCTATTTAAAAACCAAGCCTCTAGTGCTGGGAGAGATGTATATTTATTTTTCCCTAGCTCTTTGATAGAAATATTTGCCTTAAAATACCTCAGAGAACCTGAGGCTCACACCGGTTATCTGTCCCACACCTTCCGGTTGCCCCGGGGTCTCAGTCCCCCGGTGGCCCGGTCTGAAGTTCTGGAGGGATGGCCATAGCCACAGGGTTTGGCTGCTGCTTGCAGGAATTGGAGGAGGGCCACATGAGACAAGAGAAAGATATGTCTTAAGGGGCTCCTGGCTAATAATGTCTGTAAAAAGTCTTAATTAAACTTTTAACAGCCAACAATGGACATGTCACTTTTTTTTTTTTTTTGAGACAGGGTTTAACTATGTAATTCAAGCTGGCCTTGAACTCATTGTGTAGCCCAAGCTGGCCTAGAATTCGTTGCGATCCTCCCGCCTCAGCCTCCCGAGTACTGGGATTACAGGCATACACCACACACCATACCTGGCTTGTCACTGTAATTAAAAGCACTAGAGGTGAATGAGCCCAGTGTCTGAGTGGGCAAGATTCTCACCTTCAGCTGGTGTTGGAGAGGAGAAAAATAGGAAGAAGCTTGAGTCTGAGCTCTAGCCTACAGGGAAGGACTTCGAAGTGGTTTTCACCTACTTGCTAGACAGTAGTCTTCATTACCAGATGTGCTTTGCCTGTGATTGTGCTGTGACTTTTTAGACTGTTGAGAAGGCCAGTGCAACCAAAGATCATTTGAGTCCTTGGCCAGAGTCCTTGTGGCTGTGCTGTAATCAAAGGAAGTACAGAGACAGCAGTGATGGAAATTTAAACCTGTTCCCGGAGCTGTGTATTGTGGATCGAGGAGTAATGAGTCAGCTTCTCCATCACACCTGGCATCTACCTGTAAACGCAGGATGGAAGGAGTTGTGAAGTGCTGCCATCTCTGTGCTGCTGCCTGATGCTGAAAACAGGCCAAGATAGTTGTTGAGTGAACAGTCTTACAAGAAATGGCTGTCTTTTGCCTTTTATGTTCCCTTTGGTGCTGACAGTTGTCCTTGTCAGTATTTGTATAATTCACATTATCTTTGCAGAAACCTGCTCCACCAAAACCTGAACCTAAACCAAGAAAAGCATCTACTAAGGTAAGAGACACTCCTTTTGCTGTTAAAACAGTGAATAAGTTATAATGCCATACTCAAAAGTCACCCAAGAAAAGGTCATATTTAATGATTTGGGTTAAAAAGTACTGACTAGAAAATAGTTAGCACTGTTAACGGGTGTTCTTAAAAAGCATAAAGCATTTTTATGCCTTAGCAGTAATGTTTCCCATTGGATCAGTGAGGCACAGGAAGTCAAAGCAAGTTGCTATGAGAAACCCCCTGTCCACAGGGGACGAGGGCTGGGCCCTGGCGGTGCCGTGGCCACCAGCAGAGGGTGTGTCAGGGGGCCTTGGACCTCAGGCAGAGGGCCAGTCTGATGGTTAATGGTAACAGTGTAGTCGTTAATAGCAGCAGTTACAGGGTTAATACTAACCCTATATTGTGCCGCTGTCCCAGTTGCGTTTCTCATGCAGTCCTCATGTTGAGCCTGTTGAAGTACATTACACACAAATAACCTGTTTTCCAAAATGACTCACATAATGACCAGGAAATGTACCCAAAATGACTTTTCTGCACTCTGCCCTGCAGAGCATCACCCTACACCCCCTGCCACCCTCTGCGTGGAGACCACTTCTCACTTAGGGACAGGCGGTCCACAGCACAGGTGCCATTGTCCACAGAGGGAAGGCAGCCTGTTACATTTGCACAGACGCAGGGTAACTCAGTTGGAACACAGCAAAATTGGATTCCTGTTGTCCCTTAATGCCGCCATTGTGGCCATTTCTGTAGTTCACCTTGTATTTGAAGAGTCTGATTTTAGCCAACAGGAGATAGTGTCTAACATAATCTTTCCTGTGCTCCGAATTCTCTGTTAGAAAGAACCTGGAACAAAGATTAACAGAGGCGCTAAAGGGAAGAAGGAAGAAAAGCAGGAAGCTGGAAAGGAAGGTACTACACCGTCTGAGAATGGTGAAACTAAAGCTGAAGAGGTACTTTCCCCCATCTCTCCCACTGAGTGAATGTGTCGTGAAAGAAATTGCTTGACCCCTCAGCCAGTGATAGCACGTTCATCATGTCTCTTTTTATTGCCTGTAATGTTATTGCAGATCCACATCTCTCGCTCAGCTGTTAGTGTCTCAGCCTCCAGAAGTACCCCACCCAGCACCCTGTCAGTAAAGGGGCAGATTGAAACAGTCAGAGTTAAGGGTACAGTAGACAATTCTGCATGTTTGCAGTGACTAGAATCAGATAGTAGTGTGGTGCTTTTTATTATGAACAGTGGGAGGTTTCAGGTAAGGCTTCTGTGGTTGTTTGAAAAGCAGAAAGCAACACTTGCAGCGGAGTGTCACCATAATCTGCTCCTGCTTTGTCTGTTCTCCACCCCAAGCTGAACTAGTTTGTACAGTAGACTGCCAAATAACGCATGTTTTAGAAGTGTGTGTGCTGGTGCGTAGACTTTTTTTTTGGTATTACTGTAGTTTTAGTAATAACTATATCTTTTCTTTTTCTTTATTTTTCACAGGCACAGAAAACTGAATCTGTAGATAAAGAGAGAGAATAAATTGTCAAAAAAAAGTTGGGGGTGATTTTACCTCTTGGGACACCTTTTAAAAGCTATTTTTACCAAGTATTTTGTAAATGCTAATTTTTTAGGACTCTACTAGTTGACATACAAACTATATAAGGATGGACATTTTACCCTGTCCTAGTCATGTTTTTTGGAAGTTGTCATTATCAAGTAAAATAAACGCCATCTTAATATTGGAAGCTGTGTATAAAACTGATTGAACAGTCTATGCACCTTCTTTAAGAATTTAGTCCTGTGCATATTGTGTTTTTACTGTGCATATTTGAATTTTTCATGCAATTTTTCTAGAGCAATAATCACTGGTGCTTTTGTACCTAGGTTTTATGTGACTTTAATGAAACATGGATAGTTGTGGCCACCTGCTGACTATTTGTGGTTTAAAATAAAAGGTTTTCTTGTCTGCAAAATACCTGCCTCTTAATATCTTTACTAAATTTTAGTGTTTCATATTTGTATTACAGATGATGTAAAGAATTTCTGCAGTGTGTCAAACAGTTATTTAATTTTCTGACCTTTAGCATTATTATCTTAGTAAAAATCTGTGCTAGCGTAGAAAAGTTGCATCCAGCTCACTTTATAGCAGAAGTGGCCAACAATGTACAGTAAAACTTAATTAAAATATGCATGTTTCACAAGTTCTTAAAAACAAGATGAAACTCTGCTAAAACAGGTCTAGTTAAAAAAAATTAAAAGCCAATCAGTGTGGGCCCATCTTTGAAAATCTCCCACTTTCAAAATAATACTAAGTAACATTCATATGAAAGTGCTTTCCCATTCATTGAGGACTTCACACCTTGGAAAGGTCCACATCCAACACGGCCACACTGGCTTTGCACCCGCTGAGAAGGGAGCTGGCAGAGGTATTGTTAGAGCTCCCGTTTCTGGGCTAGGAAATGGGAGTGTGGGCAGTATGTGATGTACTGGAAGGGGAAAATCGGGCGTGAGGCTTCTGAATTTTAAGTAGTGTCCTCCTGTCTGTGGAAGGACATAGCAACACCAGAAACAGAAATTATTTTATAAATGTAATCTTTGGTTTGTATTCCTCAGAAGATCGGTAAACTGCGTGAGCTCTGCAGGAAGGCTGAATTCTCTGGATTCTGCTTAGATGAAGATTAGCATCTTTTCAGACACAAAGAACTGCTCAGGGCTTCCTACAAAAACGGGTGCTTTTGATGCTTTTGATGCTTTTATGTCATGGTTGTCAGCAAAACAAAGTCCTTCCTCCAGTGCATATCCTGTGGCTAAGAGCTTAAATATCATTGCCCTGTGTCTGTCATTAGTCAGTTATAGATGTCAGCTGTAGTAAGTCCAGAATAATCTTACCTCAAGTTTCCTGGGCTTCTGACTATGAAGTAGACCATAATTCATGAGTTTTGGATATGCTGAAAACCCCTTGGACTTCAAAGAAAAGTATCTGGTATCCTGAGAACACTTTATTAGACATTATGGTCAACATGCTGTTAATACACAATGGAAATACAAGTAGGGATTGAAAAACAGGGTGTATGTTTAAATTTTTCAGTTTATTACAGTAAAAGACATTGACATTAATTCCCCTCAGAATACTGTCCCTCTCTTGAAGCACGTTTATCCCATCATTCTTGCCGCTTTCTGAAGCAGTTCTAGAAGTCCTCTTTCATGAGTTCTTCACACAAGATGTGATAATAATACAGCAGATGCTGTTACCACGTGTCGTCTGATGGAGAGGCAGGCTCCTGAAAACATTAAGGTGTGTCCTCGTCCACCTTATGCACTGGATTTGGTACCTTGTAACTTCTCATTCTTCTTCAAAATCAAAATGACCTCAAGGTAGTTATGAATCAATTGAGGACATCAAGGCGGCCATGACATAAAAGAATCTTTGTAATAACTCAGTGCTGACAGTGAAACTGCAGTAAACATTCTTGTACACAAAACTTTGCCTGCTGATATGAGTGTTTTTGCTCAGCTAAGTAATGACCTAGAATTGGAATGTCCGAATCAAAGGAAATGTACATTTGACATTTTGACTACTGCTAAAAAAACTTACACCAGTTTCCACTCCCATCAACAGCTTGTGAATGCTGTCCTGTCCTACTTTTGCCAGCACTATTATTTTGGCCAATATAGTAAATGAAAAATATGTCTCACTGTTTTATTTTTACATTTATTGTATTACTAGTAAAATTGAACTTTTCTTAAATTTAATGGCTATTTGAATTTCTTCTGGGAATTTGATATTTTATATTTTTCTATTTTAAATAATTTCTAGTAATTCTTTATAATAACCATCTATACCATTAGTTTTACTTCAAACACAGCAAGCAAGAGTTTCGTGTAGGCCATTGATTGGTTTATGTCAGTTTAAGTATATGGCATTGACAATGCATGTAAATACGGTAGAGCTGACAGCTATCCAAAATAACCTAGGAATCTCAGATTGGGTCCCCAGAACTTAACACCTGATAAATACAGTGCCAAAGGTAAAGCACACACCCCACTACCATATGGAAGATATAAGAACATCCATCCACCACCCCACAGCTGCCCCTTTGGTATGTTTAGAAAGGGGTGTCCTTTATCCAAGATACCCACCTGCTAATCTGGAAAATCATAACCCTATGAATCCATAATAACTTCATGTCAAATAGTGTCCTACATACTTGAGCTGCATTGATTATACAATCATAAGTGGTAGTCTGCATATCTAAAATTCTCCTTGGAGGGTGTCCAATGGATTCTGCTGGAATAAGAATGGGGTTTAATAGGCACATAGCTCCAAAATTCCCAGTTATAAATTCTGTGATAAAATAATCTGAACCAAAAGTCAAAATGGATCAAAAATCTGGTCTAACAACAATTAAACAATGCCTTAAGCTCTTGAATGTGTATTTACATAATAAATTTGAAACAAGGTATGAAATGAAGGTTTCTGTTTCCAGATTTTAGGAGACTTCTCTTGGCTGGAGGGACAAGTATTATCCCTTACTTTTCCAACTGAACAGGTGCAGAAAAGCCACCTCAACACTTACTGTCACATGTTAATGTGTCTCATTCAAATATATTTATCTTAATCATGAATTCCAACTTTTATTATTTTATTCAGAACAGTGATTTTTAAATCTCAGGATAATTATAATTAATATAAGAACAGCTAGAAATTATTTAATGCATTTTATATAAGTGATCAATTTAGGAGAGAATTTATGAATAATTATTTTAATATCTCATTCCTGTTCCCTAATAAAAATAATTTTTCAACACCAAATAAAAGCTCTGACTCACTTAAAAGTGTAAAGAGAACTTTGTGTTTATGACGCTTCCTCTGGGGAGAAAAGAACGTGTGAAAGTCCAGGTTTAAAGTCCTATTTACATGTGAAGCTTCATGCCCTTGATCTCAGCAGTGATTTTTTGGGTGTGACACCAGAAGCACAAAAAGCCAAATAGAAGATAAGCTGGATGACATCAAAATTAATAACTAAGAAAGGAAGACACACAAAATGGGAGAAAATACCTTCCAATTATGTATCTGATTACAGTCTAGAGTCCAAATGTATAAGTAAGTTTAAAGACAACTCATTTTAAAAGTGGGCAAAGGATTTGAGTGGACATTTCTCAAAGACATACCGATGGTCTGTAAGCACATGAAGGGGTGGCAAACATTAATCATTAGGGAAATGCAGTTCATAACCATGCAGTCAGTTTCCACCCACTGGGATGACAAGAACAACAACAGGAAAATAACATGGAGAAGGTGTGGGGAACTTCGAGACTTCGTTCATTGTTAATGGGAATGCACAATAGTGCAGGCTTGTGGGGAAAGTTTGACAACTCAGAAAATTAAATAGTTACCTTATCACCCATCAGTTCCACCCCTGGGTGTATACCTAAGAGAACTGAACTTACACAGAACTTTTACATTAGTGTTGAGAGCAGCTTTTCCTACAATAGCTTAAAAATGGGAACCGAGCTGTCCATCAACAGTGTAATGAGTAAACAACACTGTAAGTCTGTACAATGAGATAGTACCTAGCCCTGGAAAGAAAGGAAACTTGCTGTCACACAGATGTGCCAAGAAAAAGGAAGGTAGGCATAAGAGGCCACAGATTGCTCCCAGTTACACAAAACGTCCAGAATAGGCAAATCCACGGAGACACAGAGGGGACTGATGGCTGGAGGCTTGGGAGGGAAGAAGGGACAGTGAGAGCCAGGGTACAGAGTGTCGGGATGGGGTGGCAGTGCTAGGTTCTCCCTAAATGTCAGGCGGGCAGGAATTGCATGAGTACAAATGGGCTTGGTAGGCATTTTCTGGGGACAGTTGCATGTTTGTCATAGCAAGTCAGCTCTGAGTCAGTCTCCCTTGAACAGTATGAAAGGAAGACTTGGGCTTCACTTAAAAGGCAGTGTGAGCTGGGGGTGAGGCACATCCCTGTCATCTTGGGTATTCTGAGAGGCTGAGGCAGAAAGATAGCAAGTTGCAGACCAGCCTGAGCAATTTAGGAAGACTGTCTAAAAAATGAAAAAGGTGTAGCTCAATGAGAAGGTCCTGGGTACAAGCCCCAGGACCACCACTGAAAAAAAAAAAAGAAACCTGGCAATATCAGTGGCTAACACTGAACTGAAGCAAGACTGCCAGGGTGGATTCCTGCCTTTGTTACTTACTGGCTGTATGACAGATTGGACAGTTCATGCAGTCCCTCTTACCTTTGTGCTCCCATCTGTAAATGGGAATAAAAATAATATTTAACTCTGTAGGGTATTGTACGTGTTAAACAATATAAAGAAAGGGCTCAGGAAGTACAAATTTTAATCAGTGAGGAGGGACGAGAGTTTGGCTCCTGGAGAACAGGCAGCATTGACCCGTTCTCCCTTGTGTGGCTGGCCCTGAGACGCTCAGAGACCTAGTAAGTTTGTGTAAGTACGTGTTGTCCTGAGCGTGGTCTTCAAGGCAGGGGAAGAACCAGGCCTGCAGGTGGTACAGCTGCTGCGTCCATCTCCAAATTAATTCAGACTGGATGGTGTAGCCCAGACACACAAACTACAGTCTGCCCAGTGTTCCTCGGAATCAGTGCAGACATTAAACTATCTCATGTCATTTGTATTTAGCTTAAGACTTTTAAAACACTACTTCTATAACTTTAAGAATGTCTTATAATATCTGCTCAACCTGTGTGCACATACTCACTTTAGATATAGACTCAACTTCACTTTTTAGAAAAACTGTAATACCTTTCTAGTTATGAAGTGTTAACATTTGAGCAGCATAGTCCTGTAGAGTCATCCGTCTGGAGGTGGGAAGAACCCCTGAGGTCATCTGCTCTCTGTGATGTGACTTAGGTTCCCCATTGCAAGAGGACCAAGCAAAGAGTTGCTGAGACTGAGTGAACACCTCCAGTGTTTCAGCGGCCACGACCCAAGTAGCTCTGAGAGTTAGAATTTGCCTTCTAATCGAGGAGGCAAGAGTGATCTTTGTTGTTTCCAGTGATTGATCCCAGCCCTGCTGGGATTAAGAACATCTGAATTACTTGATTCTTCCTTAGCCACTGCAAACATCCCCAGATGCCTGTCACTCACAGCCTATCTGAAATGCCTCTCTTTCACCCATCCTCATAGGTTACAGTCCTAGACATAGATCTCTTTTAAAAATACAGTGCATTTAAATGAGCCTCTTAAATTCAGACAGTTAAGAAATGGGAGCAGAAATTTTTCAAAACAATCAAGTTAACAGGAAATACCTATATTCGCTTCTCCTTTGGACCATCAATTTCATGTGACTTGATTCTTCTCTAGTTCTCCCCTTTGTGAATTTTAATTAGTATATGCCTTCTGTGCGTGCATGCTGAGCTCTAACACGTGTGTTTTACCAGGCAAAGAGTACCCCATGGTTGCACCGAAGTCCATCTGCCAGGTCATACGTTGATCAAAAATACATTGATCGTCCAAGTGTGAGGCATACGCAAGGCAGTAGGGACTTTGTGGGGAGAAGTTGAGCTCCCTTGCTGTTATGGAGCTTTGAGTCAGCATTACTTACATAGAAACACAGGTACACACTTGCAAGAGCCGTTACAGAACCCTAGCCTCTTCCACAAGTAAACCCTTCGCGTCATTCCTGTAGTGGATTTCATTTTGAGAGCTGTGTTTCAGTGACCCTAACAGACGTTAGCCATAAACAAGCCCACAAGAAATCAAGTAAGTTCACATACTGAACAGCTTTTTAAAGTGTTACTCATCTAGCTGCCATAGAGTGCCCGCCAGAAATGACTCTTTGGGTTTGGCCTAATTAATGTGTAGTTGTATTTCCAAGAAATAATCAGCCATGCGCACTTCCGTGGCACTCCCACTGATACCTTTTTAGATTAGAAGGTTCAAGACAGGCGCACAAATGACCAGTGGCATGTGCATGGCCTACCAGGTAAAAGAGGTTTAGAGGGAGGGAGGTGAGACAGGTGGCCTTACAGTTGGAAAGCACAGGGCTAGGCTTGACCTTGGTGATGAAATAATACAGTTTTCTTCTTGGAACTGAGTATCTTTGAATTCCAGAAAGACTACTTTTTTTGGTGGCGGGGTGAGCAATTTGTGAAATCTTAATAGCAAGAACTAAATCAGAATAAAGTGTTTTAAAAATATTTTTTCACTCTTTGCTAGAATTCAGTTCAGGAGTTTGATAATGAATGAACTCTTAGGAACTCATTGGCTCATCATGTACAGAGCACACAAGCTGTATTTACCAAGTAACTGTTAAGCAACTCTTGGATTCTGAATCCTGGGCTACAGAGCAATCACAGTTCAAGAAGAGATGTAATTTTTGGCTTTGCTCTTATAAAGCAGGACAAGCTCTTGTATCTGCTGCTGGCTTTTTTTAATGGGAAAAAAACCCTTCAAAATAATAGGACAACAATAGTTAATACACTGTGCATTGTCATCCTCAAAGCAGTTACTCAGTACAAGATAATGTCATGAAAAATTCTCCAAACAATGTTAGCACAAACCTTCCTTTTCAATTAACTAAGAAACTAGTAGTATAACTATCACGTATTTTTCTTTCCTTTTCCCTTCCTTCCTCTCCCCTGTCCCTCACCCTACTTCCTCTTTCCTTTTGAACAGTTTCTTCCCAATTTGCAATATCTGTTGTATATTTTGGACCTTGTTTACACTTTCAGTTTCTCACACCAGGGAGAAAATGTGATGTTTACACATGTGAGTCTGATTTATTTCACATGTAAATGTGGTCTCAAATTGCATTCATTTGTCTAGAAATGTCTCAAGTTTATCCTTCTTTATGGCCAAGTAGTACTCCATTGTATAAACAGATCACATCCTTTTTATCCATTCCTTGGTTGATGGGCATTTGGATTATTTCCAAGACTTAGCTATTACAAATTGTGCTGCTGTAAAGATGGTCGCACATACATTGCTGTGGTATGATATTTTCAGTTCTGGAAAAATACCCAAAAGGGAAATAGCTGGGTTGAATGAGAGTTTACTGAGGAATCTCCAAACTGATTTCCACAGTGGTTTCACCAGTCTACACTCCCACCAGCAGTGCAGAAGAGTTTCTATTTCTCCACACCCCCACCAGCATTTGTTATCGGTTGATTTCTCTTTGATGGCCATTCTCTCTTGGGTGAGATGGAATCTCGGGGTTGCTTTAATTTGTATCTCTCGAATGACCAGTGATGTCATTTTCATGTATTTATTGTCATTCATGTATTTCATGTCATTTTCATGTATTTACTTGGCATT